AGATATTTTCCAAAAAAAAAAAAAAAAAAAACAGAGTATATATGTAGTAATAAAAATAAATAAAAAATTGAGTGAAAATATGGTGTACTCTTTTTTTTATCGATATAACTGTACGAAAAGTAAAGAAGAAAAAACAGATTTATTGAGAAGATTAAGTTTTAATATTTTAGTCCGCTAGAAAAAGAAGAACATTCGATGGATTTAACCATATTTCTTCTGAAATGAAGTTTATACTCTGCTTCGACATTAAGAGAAAGAATGATTAGTAGAATATTAATTATTTTGCAGAAACTGCACTCCGTGTTTTGTTCCAATACAAAGCGAACGTTTCCCGTTATTAACCGATACACCACGTTTTTATGTAGACGTTTTGTACATTATAACTATTGTGATTTAATAGCTTAAATTGTCGCAAAATGGAAAATCACGAAAAATGGGTTTTCCTCGGTGTACAAATACTTTTTATAATGACTGTATGTTCGGTCGTTAAGAAATTGTTAACGTAACAAAAACCCCAAATTTAATGATTCTAATTATGTTTTTCAGCATTTCCAAAATAAGTCTTGTTTTTTGTTGATTTCAAAAAATGTGCGAAATTGTCCAGAAAGTAGTTTTTCCCCGTATACTTGCTAAATATCCACGCTCAGGTACTATCCTGAAAAGAATTAACAAAATTGTGTACGCGTGTATGGAAATATTCAGAACCCAAGATTAGCAAGTAGCGAGAAAATTATCGATGATTAGTAACAATTTATTACAATATTAAATCTAGACAAAGCAGGAAATAAAGTTTTTAGAAACGTCAGGAAATACGGATCTCGCAAAATGGACAGAAAAAGCACAAATGAAGATTTTTTTTAGTTTCCTCGAGATAATTCACAATTTGTTCATGAGAACATTCGGTAAATTGGTATAACGAGTTGGAACAATAGCCTGTAGGCATATTCCCAGTAGTTCGTGCCTTGCAGTTACATAAATACATTTGTTCGTAGATTATTAAATGCTTTAGTTAAGCAGATCATTGGGATGTTTCTTACTCAATCCCCTTGGGACAAATGTAAAATATAAGTTGTTTGCTGGTAGATTTAAGCGGTTTTCTAATTCCTTTTTGTCGGGATAAAGACACAACATAAGTTGTTTGTTAGTAGACTTAGACAGTTTTCTAATTCCTTTGTGTATCTCACAGCAAAAACCGTTATTGTACTATCGACTGATTCTATTCTAAGATCCTAGTTTTTAATGTACCAGAGAGCATTAACGAGCGTAAGGAGGATTATTGATTGTAAAGCTCCTATTTTCTTAATGTTGCTCATACTAACTGTACATCGAAGTTCGATTCCAAAGATTCAGATAGTTTTAATGATGGTCTTGTATAACAAAAGTTAATTCTTTGAGTTCAGTTTTAAATTCCTTCTCGTTAAATAGTTCATGTTTCTTCTTTTTATTTTGGTCTGCCCTATTTTCTTCTGGGTGTGGTGTTTCCACGTTAATTTCCTATCTACGTAGATGCCTAGATATTTTACAACTGCAGCTTGTTACTCAGAGATACAGTACGAGATATTTGCTCCTTTAATGCAAAGGTAATGCGTCTGGATTTTTCCTCGTTTAGTTTCATTTTTCGTTTTAAGAATCAAGTTTACAAACTTACTAGGGATTGCTGCAGAAACTGAGAGGCAGTGTTAACGTTATCGTGCATATAAAGTGCCATATAAAGTACAGATCCTAAGACACTGTCTTGTGGAACACCAGCATTTATTGAGTATTGATTGAAGTAACTGTCCCGAAATTTGGCTATGAATTTTCTATTTGATATGTAAGATTTAGTGAGATAACAATATGCTGGAAAATTGATTGCTATTTTAAGCTTTCTCGATATCTAGGAATATGACTGAACAATATAACTTTTTTTCAAAGCATGTAATGATAGTATCAACAATTTTATACGCTTATTGAATTATAGGATGTTTATTACGAAATCCAAACTGGTGATTAGATAATAAGCTTTCTAGACGAGATGATTGATTTCAGTTTACTTAGTACTATTCTCGCTAGTATTTTCTATATAATTAATAGCAACAAGATTGGCCTATATGATGTCGTTAAATGCAAATCCCAACCTAACCCCGGGCTTTTGCAAATATTTTGATCGCAGTACTGTATTGAAGATACTTGTAATCAGCCTTATAGAGGGCTTATCTAAAAGGATATTCTTTTATAATTTTTCCTGTCATCAGCTGAAGGTCAAATGCTTTATGTTTATTTTTGTATTGATTTTTTATTATGTTTATTTTTTTGTTTTATACTTATGCTTTTGTTGTACGTCTGATATAATTCTTTTTGCTTCTTTAAACGTAACACTTTTATTGGGCTTATATTTGCAGTAGCATTTATATTTGCTTTTATTGGACCTGAGTTTCGTAAGGTGTGATCTAGCATTGTGTTGAATTGTTCCATTTATCGTTCCAGAAAATTCATTTGTTCGTTATGTATGTTTATAAGGATTTCTAAGTTGTTGGCAGATAATTTTCGTACGAATGTTAACACCAGTTACTTATGTATATAACTTTATAATAGCTTCATTATCAAATTGAGGGATTATCTTCGTAATGGGGGACCTGTGACTAATCGAGTATGGCACACACATATATATTATATATATGAGCGACTTTTATCAAAGCTGAGGAGATTCTGGTGCAATTACTTTCAATGCTACAATGTAACTAGCAGGGTGATTATCGTGGCAGTTAAAAGATTTAACATTATCGATGTGACGTCTTATTGAACGATCAGTGGTAAACCTTATCAGCGTGCCCTTTTTATTGCACAATCAGTGATCGAATGATTTTTGGCACACTTAACGCAAGTCGATATTTTATTGGAATAATTTTTGGTGTGGCCGAAAGACTGACATCTGATGCATTAATCTAGTATTTACTAGTCTGATCAATTGTAACTATTTTTGTTCTTTCCTTATGACTCGAGTTCGTCCACAAAAAGTTGGAGTTGTAGTTTTTGTTACGTATTGAATCATACTATTCATAATCGTTTATTTAGCGAATTTTGTAGTTTAACTATCCAGTGAAACTATAGAAAACTTACTTCCTTTCCGATCCCGATCACTTTTAGATATGTTGTAGAAATCAACATTGTAAGTGTATAGTTTATTTTTACTCAAGCATAGTTACCAGAATGTTCCCAAAAAATAATCGATGTTTCATGCGTCTGAATTTTGTCTATAATTATACGCCCTTATCAGCGTACGTGTTAATCTGGTTGCCGACCGCCTATCTTTCGTTTGTAATGTATACATGTAAACGGAAGTTGGGCTATCTTAAAGCTCTTTACACAATTGTATGTGCATGACTGTAAAAAGTGCTGTGCACAATTAGAAACGAATACATCGATGATATTTTTATATTTATTTTATTATATACATTTTTAATTGAGTTATATATAACAGACATCTCTTACAGTTTCTCATATACAGTTGCGCAAGGAGCTTTTCTTAGACTCACCCTCGTTGTATATATAAACTGAAAATAAGCGTCAATTTTCGACCAGGTCATTCTATTCAATTTCTGACAATTAATACGGACGCTTATGCTGCCACGGACCCATAATTATAAGTACAACGTACTGTAGTGATATTAATAGAATTTTCCTACTATCTGGTAAACTATGACCGATAGTTACATCATGTACAGAAAAAAAGTGTTTCATAATGTTGAGATTTGCAAGTTATTCAGAAATCATCGCAATCAGAAAGCAAGTAGTTTCCTTGAAGTTTTCATCTATAATAATAATAATAATTATCTATAATAATAATAATATATCTATAATAATTGATAATACGATCAAAAAGCCAAAAAGTACAGAAGTGCATAAGGTTAAGATCTCGATTGATTTTCATGAAAATAAATGCTTCTAAGAATTATTATATGCGTGCATAGCACTTACCATGTAAAAAACAAAGACTTTTGATTTTTTTGGTCTATATCACATTAGCCGATTTGTATCCAAGCGCGGATTAATCCACGCGCTGCGACTGTCTTCTATCACCAAGCGTGGATTATTACGCAATCGGACGACTGTCTTCAATCACCAAGCGCGGATTAATACGCGCGCTGCGACTCCTTCTTTTTATTTCTATTTTAATTTAAATAATTTTTACTTTTTTCCCCTGTTATAAAGAATGTAAGATGCGATATTTTCGAAGTCACATTGTCTACCAATCGTTTTGAACAGTAAATTTTCGATAAACTCCATGAAGAATTCGGATGTCATTTACTGCACCTACGACCGACCGCGCGTGGTGATAGGGACCAGTCCTCTTAAGTAGGGTCATGATGCAAATAAGGACAATGTGGCAGGACAAATTTTAGAGGACTCACCGGGGGATCGTCTCAGTACCACCATTTTCCTGAAGATAAATAGAAACAAATTTTGTTGTATTCATCAAATGTTACTGCATCTCATAAATGTCAGGAAACAAGTTTCCTATTCAGTTCATTATTTAAATGAATGCGTTCAATATGCCACCCCCCCTTAATATATTTCCTCTGCTTTTCTTTGTCTCACTCACTATTTCTGTCTGTCACGCACGATTTCTGTCTCTCATGCACTCTCTTGCTCTTTCGAACTTTTTATATCTTGCAATTTATAATCGTGTATGAACTATCGTTACGAGCCGGAGAATTCTGCACTGCTCAGACTCTACAGTCGAGTAGAAGTTTTAAAGTCTTTCAGATACTACAGATGTGGTTGTACTGTCTTCATTTGTTTGGTGCTTTTTGGATAATAATACGTATTTACGTTAGGTTCTTTGACAGCTTATATTTGACCGAATTAAAGGAAATCGAGATTTTCGAATATTACAGATATAATTTTATTGTTTTAGTACTTTTAAAGCTTTGTGTGAGGCTAGCGATGTCGATCGGTGAAATCTTTGATTACTTATATCCATCCCGGACAAAAAACTTTGAGAATTTACATTACAATGAGTCTAGATCTATGACTTCCAATTTACTGGTGTTTTGGTCGTCGATAATTGTGGCAAGCTGTTTCCTCCAATGTTTCGGCTGGACCTGGTCATACTTCATTCAGGTAGAGGAATTTGACATTTTTAGATATCACAAATGTTCCACCGTTTTTGAGCATTTGGATTGAAAAGTTGCAAAATTTACAGATACTAGAAGTGTGGCCTCGCATTTTCGGTTCTTTGGATATCGATGATGATACTGACGAAGAACATTAACACCAAAGTTCTTCACCTCAAGCTCAAAGCTGACTCGTTGTCAGGTATTAGTTTGTGAGATCCTTGTAAGCATGATTTTATGATTTTAGTTCGTTCAATGTTCAATGATGACGATGTCAGTGGACATTAAATTTTTGAAGAAATATTCGTCATGTCGTATTCATCATTTAATATTCGCATAAGAGTTCACAATTAATCGTGAGGTCATGCGTTTTAATTTCCATACTTCAGTTTAAATAATGATTCCTGTGCACGTTAAATTGGAAATTGAGCGCTCATGGCACATAGAAATACGTGATACAGAAAAACATACATAGACAATTTACACTTGAAAATAATTAATGTTTTTATATAATTGTAATTTTATAAGATTCTGATGTGTACATAAATACTATAGTTGATTATAATTAAAGCGATGCAATGAAAATGTTAAGCATTTGGTTCGACCCGTGGTAACGGGCTGTACAAATGTAATGCGTTAAATATCTCAAAACATGTGATAGATATTAACACAAATTTTGAATATACAATGAGGAATAACATTTGGAATACTCCCATCAATGTTAGACAATGTATATAGCGATTAAACATAAACATGTATATAGCGAATAAAATAACTTCTCTATAATGATGTACGATATCCTAAAGTAACCCTTTCTTACTGAAAATTGTGATATAAATATTTCCTTTGCAGGTAGTTGCTTTTTCTATTTTTTGATCTCTAATCTAGCCTTTTTCTAAGTAACAGCGATCGTTACTTAACAGTTTTACGCGTCTCGTTATTCAAAATTTATAATTTACGTTCGAAAGTATGACCGAGATCGATTGCAACGTTCTTTTAATATCTATACGAAAAGAATGAATCTAATAACGAAGAAGATAAAGAATATTATTGTCTGGTATGCTGGGAATCCTACAGCATTATGAAACTAGACGAAGAAATTGGTGCAATGTAGTGAGTGAAAAAATTGGGCACATGAAAAATGTACCTATCAAGATGTTTTTTTATATTTGTCACAATTGCGATTCTGGATGATCGGTTACAAATTTTACTTTTGTTCTACTTATTATTATAATTTAAATCAATAAATATCTTAATTTGATAAAGTTAAACGTGTATTACTATCGACCCTATGTAGTATTACAGCCGATCCATCGTATTTTCCACGATCGACGTACTATAAAACGATAGTATTTATCAAGGAAATATTTGCCGGAAGCGCGATATAAATTTTTTGCGGGAAAATTATACCGTACATAACGTTACAATTAAATACTAGAAGCATCGATTATATATCTCGCTCCTTCCCGTTGAATAAATATATGTTACTAAGAAATTAAAAATTACTTCTACCGTACAGGAAAATAATCGTCGAGCGAATCACACCAGCGATGAAATAGAAGAGAGGAAAAAAAGGGGAAAATACGTCCCGAAGGTATCACGAGGTATCTCAAATTCGAAGAACGTACCTGTAATAGGTGTACATTATTACTCGAATTTAGAAAGATTATTAATATTTATCCAAATTAAATTATTACTCGAGATAAAAAGAAAGGAAACGAGTAGAAAGTTGTTCTATATTTATAATGGTTCAGAGAGTAAATAAAATTTATTTTTAATATTACTCCATATTATATCTTGTGTCATTATAACAATCCTATATTACACAGAATGAAAGATAAAAACGAAGCTTATCGTAATGCAGTTAGTCGTATTTATGAATTAAGCATTTCCCCACTTATGTTTTCCTGTTTTATAAGCGCACAACTGTAAGCATGCTGGACGATGAAGAAATAAAATTTTGTTCAGAACGAAATGTATCGTAATGCCATGTATGGTGGGTCATTAATTGATCCTTTATCGCAAATAGTTTCATTATCTCTCAATTCTAAGCCAGTAACCGGCGATTCCGAATGATTTTAAAACGTAGCACGATATAGTGGGCGTAGATCATGGTTTATATTTTTTTATATCGTACGCTGTTAAAGTCATTGAACAGTCGACCGTTCAAAAACCAACGGGTACAATTTTCAACTGCTATTTCGTAGTATGATGTTACGTAAAACGTCTCAGATCCTTGACATTCAACGCGGAATGTTTCGAACAAATAGTTGACGCGTTTATTAGGCGAGACGCCGAATAGACATTTGAAAATCTTTAGATAAGAAGCAAGACGTCAAACGGAGGAAAATAATTTTTTTTACGCGCGTGCATGTATCGGGTTAAATGTATTAGTATACAAAATACGAAAGTGAGTGACGCATAATCTGCCAAGAATTACGCGATTGAATGATTCAATATATCTAATGTTTGGATGGCTGTGAACACTATGTGCAGCTTGTTTATCGTTCTAGACTCTAGTCTGTAAATATGCAGTCGCAAGCTACCGAGCCATTATCATAATACCGCAACAATATCTTCGAAGCTTCCTACTTCCGACGCAATAATAACGACGAATGCTCCGACGAATGCTCTCCTATCGAGGAAGCAGAATCAGTTCTCTCTAAACGATCTTGAATAACATCAAGCCACTCGTTATTCTTCTTTTACCGCAATTATACGAAATACCCTCTTGTACTGATTTTTCGTTGCGGGTGCATATATTAACATTCATAAGTATCCGGACACTTTGGTCAATTTATAATAATGTGATTTTGTCAAAGATGTTTTGATTAATGGTAAATTAATAATTAAAAGCAGCACTTTCTGCATTTTTGTGGAGTCGACGGATTAATAAGTTATTTAAATTTATGATAATCTTTAATAAATTGTTTAAATTTATAAAAATGATCGTAATAATATACGTTATTATATATACTGGTTATATATATATTATCTTATACATGCATATACTATGGTATATATATATATATATATATATATATTTAAATATCATTATTCGCATAAATGTCAGAAACCTTCCTATTATTTTAGAAAAGCCTAGTCAATCTGATTTATAACTTATAAATTAATGAATTTGAAGATAAAAAGCTTGACAAGGAGGAAAGTTATTCTAAAATTACTCAAGATTTGGCAATTACAAGTGTTAAATTTATTGTCTGTTGGCTTCTAAAAAACAACTTAGCAATGTTGAAATATTCTCTGTCATATAATTATACGATATTATTATATAATGTAGTTACGAGTAAAAGAATGATAATAAGATCATGGCAAGGACTGCGAGGTAGCAGATTTTTTCGTTTATCCATAACTTTACGATTAAAATACATCTTGCCGAAACTGAAAAAATTATCGGTGTACTTTCGAACGGTAGTGCAACGTATAAGTCGTATAAGTGCTCAAACAACCGGAAGACATATCTGAACGATGACAAAGAGATTTGTGACGTGTCTGGGTGCCATTCGATTATTAAGCCAGACCAGTATCGTGCCAAATCCGCTGAATAAATATAGAAGCCGCGGGATAAATGTCGCGTGTCGTACAAGATATACAGGGTAGTTGGTAACTGGTGGTACAAGCGGAAAGGGGGTGATTCTACGCGAAAAAAGAAGTCGAAAATATAGAATAAAAATTTTT